CTCATTCCCAACTTTTTGAGACAGTCATGAAATGATCGACATGACTCAACTCTGGTGAGTTGTTCATCAAGTTGGTTTTAAGACAAAATATGAGGCATTTCAATAGTCTTTGCTTCTTTTTTTTCCTTGAGGAAATGCTTGTCAACTTCAACATGTTTAGTTTGATCATATCGATTTAGGTTGTGGGCTATATCACACGTTGCCTTGCTATCACAATATAGCTTCATTGGAGTGGCGTGTTTGATACACAGATCTTTCAATAAGTTTCTGACCACAATAGTTCACATACTTCCTTAACCATTCCCCTAAACTCAGATTCGACACTTGGATAGAGTAGCTACCACCTGTTTCTTACTTCACCAAGCGACTAAACTTCCACCTAAATAAGTAAAATATCCTGACGTGGATTGTCTATCTTTAGTGCTACATCCCAATCTACATTTGAATAGCTTTTGACATTTAGGTTAACTCCTTTTGTAAACATAATCCCTTTTCCTGGAGATGACTTCAAGTAACGTTAATACATGTCACCGTATGTATATGTTCTTCGCTCGAGGAGTGCATGCATTGGCTGACAGTAATTAGCGCATACACTGGGCTAGGCTGAGTATGTGTAAGATACATCAATCTCCCAACGAGTCTCTGATATCTTTCTGTGTTTGCTGGAGCTTGGTTCGAATATATGCCTAGTTTCAGATTTTCTTCCCTAAGAATGGTAGTTGAACTACACACTGTCATACAAAGTTTCACTTAACAGGTTTAAGGCATATTTTGGTTGAAATAGAAAAATACCTTCCTTTGACCTTAAAACTTTATTTCCAAGGGAATATTTGGATAAACCAAAATCCTTCATTTCAAATTTCGGGTAAGGTGCTTCAGAAATATAAAGCATTATTTTTTTTCAAACAAATACTGCAATATAATATTCTTTTGAAATATTAAATAAAATTGTAAAATTGTATTTCTTCATAAATCCCGCTTAAAACCAATCTTTTTTAAGAATTGAAAATATATAAAGAATCAAATATAGGATGATGGATGACGTAATTTAAAGAAGATGCTAATTATTTTCTTTTGGGATTCGATGGAACTTCCATCTCTAATTACTTTCGTCTCCCAAGAAAAGTAAGCTACACAAGATTTATTATAATTTAATAAATTTTAGTGTTACGCTGATAAAGAATTACAAATTGGAGAGAAAAAAGACGGAAATAGAGAAAGTTAATAGATATATATTTTATTGAGAATCAAGACTATATTTGTATGTAAGAATTAGGATTGTAGGGATACAATAGTAATAATAATTAGTATTGTAGGACTATAATAGTCATTCAATATTTAATTTACGACACTAGTGAAATAAATATCTATAGCCAAAAACTGGTTATTTAAAAAATGTTATAATAGAATTTAGAATTATTAAATAAAAGAGAGCAGCTCTTTTAATTTACATTTATGGCCTATTTTTTGAACATGACCTGACTGATTTCAATCCTATTTTTATGTCATTTGAGGTCCTCTCGATATTGAGCGGCCTAACCCATTTGATACTATCCAATTTCCATAGAAGATCCTAAGCCATAATACGGGATTCAATTATTTGCTTGAAATCTAATTAAGATAGGCCGTTTGACCATTTCTAACTTAAAAACATTCAATTAAATTATCAACTCTATGATTTTCACACACACAATTATCCGTCAAATGGCCTCAGGCCACGTAGACGTGCCCACATTGACTTGAAAAACATGAAAGACGAAACTAAATGAATTTGTCACCAAGGGATTTGGACAATTGTTATGCTATGATTGGCTTATTTTCTTACATGCAAATTAAGTTGGGTTAGAATTTTCTCTTATTTCAAGAAATAATTGCTGTTAGATCCCTTATAGGGGAGAATCTAGTGGACAATTTAAAAAGGTTATTTTCGTCTAGTAGTTTACCGAACAAGTCCTTTAACACAATCTTAAGCCTGCACTTTTGTCATAATTAATCATTATTTTGAGTTCATTTTATGCCAGAAAAAGTCTTTGTCAAGTTGACCTTGTTTTGATGTAGTCCACAAGTGGCAAAGGAGGTAGCCCACCAAACTCTATGAAGTGCCAATATTTTTGGACAACTTCATTCTTTTCAACTAAACCCCTCCACTTTTTCTTCTTCCATGCATATTCTAGGGTCGGGTGAGGTGAGGCAGGATGCATAGGAGTGGAGAAGATCATGTATTTTTTCATGGTTAAAAAATATTCCTCAATATATTTATTTGATTAGCTAAAGTTAAAATTGGTGTAATGTAATTTAGAAACAAATTAATTATGAAATACGCAAATTTTCATTGTTAAATATGATAGGGGCAACATTTCAAATCAATTAATTAAAGATGAAATAAACAATATAATAGTTCAGACTACGTTCCTATTGATAGATAATAAATCTAAATTTAAATAAATCGAAATTAACAATTAATTTTAATCATATATTATATGGAATCTACATTTTTAATTATATATTTCATCAATTTTTATCAAAATTTACTAAATTTCCCCCCCACCAAATAGGGCATAGTACTAAACAAGATTAATTTTTTTCAGTAAATTGATAAGACTCTCCTCTAATTGAATTGTCTACATAGTATACTAAACAAGATTAAATTTTCAAAAATTGAAAAGACTAACTAGATTGTCCATGTTACTAAACAAGATTAAGCCCATGTATGGAGGAGATCAAGATTAAATTTTTAGTAGATTTTAATAAAAGTTGAAGAATGTGTGATTGGAAAGTTGTGGATTTCATGAAATATGTAATTAAAATTAATTGTTGACTTTAATTAAATCTAGATTTAAATCACTACCAAATAGGGGTAATTTTTTTTCATGATTTTTGACATTGTTTCTATGTTTAATACAGAGTACAATACTACAAAAGAGAAAACAAAATCTTATTATATATTTATATTGTATTGTCAAGTCCAATGTATATACTACGCCCTTGTTTGGTTTGGATTAAAATCAAATTAAAATTTCAAATCAAAGTCAATAAGCAGTTTTAAATACATATTTCGTGGGATTCGCAACTTTTCAACCATATATATTATCAGATTTTATTAAAATCTACTTAAAAAAATCTGATTTTCAGAGTTACATGTTTGTGGTGCTATTTAATTTGCATTATATTTAGTTGGGTGAAAAACATGGTTGGTCGAACTTTAAACCTTGCAAGACAAAGGTCCCTAAACTTTACCATATACAAAAATGCATGATCTATTAGTCCCTCTATATGTATCCATCATTCCAACTAAAAAATAATGAATTTACTGAGAAAAGTACATATGGTCCAACTCAGTATCAATACAAGTAGCCAACACCGTCTAACATGTCTAGTATTTAGATGTTGACTATTTGGATGATACTAATTGAAATGTAAATAATTTTGTTAAGTGATTGTTGTCGATTTTATATCTAATAAATGTACAATTGTAACAAGTAACATAGTGGATAAATGAATCTAGACGATCGCTTTCATGAGAACTACTATTTAACTGTTGATAAATTATTCATAACTTTAATTTTATTGAAAACAAATAGAAGTGCTTATTTTCTTTTTGTGCATTTTTTATTATTTAAAATATACTAAAACAATTAAATACAATTTTTAATAATGATTTAAGTGTTAGCTATCCCCTAATCTTAATCACCAAATTTTATAATAATTGATTATGTGTACTCGGTCGAATTCTTCTAACCTATTCAATTTATTTCTTTCAAATTCAAGTTGATTCTATTTAACTAAGTCAATTCCCTATGTCTATGTGAAATTAAATTCCTTAAATATTTCAAAATCCAGGCTAACGATCGCACCAACTAAAAAATGTATCTCTACGCTTTTATACTAATTACCAACGTTTACTACATGATCTGAACAAACGAACTTTCTTTTGATGTACTCTCACAATTGAATGAATTAGTAGCCAATTATTTCCCATAAGAGTTTGAGAATAAAAAGGAAATAATTTCCTTCTTTAGTTGAACTCATTTTCTCATGTAACTTTAGTACTTACCTTATAATATTTGCAATTAACCCTCTTCATTTAAAAATTACTAATAATTGACCCGAGACAAGTTTTGAAAGTTTGCAATTTAATCCCCAAATTTTTTACATGTCGAATTCAATTCTTCAAGTTTATGATTTTTTATCGACTGCTCTATTAATACTTTAATTGATCACTTGCAATCCGGTTAATCTTCAATTGCTTCAAATCGAATTCAATTAAGGTTCAAATAGTCTTTTTCGTATCAATTGTATCCATGTTCTATTTTTTCTTACAATTAATATAATTTACACAAATTAAGTAGATAATCAATCAATTTACATATAAATAAATAATAACAGAAGCATAAGTGATTAATATACTTAGCAATTCATTATTTAACTCTTGTTTGGAGTACAGTAAAAGTTGTTAAAAATTTCAAGTCAAAGTCAAGAATTAATTTAGACCACGCATTTTATCTACTTTTATCAAAATTTATTAAAATTCTGATTTTAATCTTCACCAAACACGAGCTTAAGTTAGTTGCGAAAACACCTAGATAGACTAATAAGTTATATCTTATCAAGTTGGAAACTAAAAATGTACCTTTTTCGCACAAGGTAAAGTTACCAACCTCCTTTTCTACCCCTTTTTAGTTCTTCCCTCTCCAAAAATACGGACTTAGCAAGTAACAAGAGGAAGGGAACATTTTACACATCAATGGTGGCAAAATGAAATGCTGGTAATCAAAATTTGTATAAATAATCCATCAATTGAAACTTTATCTCATGCACTATGTGATACTTGTGAAGTGTTAAAAGTTGTCACTGTATTAAATTGCACCTCCCTTACAAATCAATAAAATAATACTATATCCTCTCTCTCTCTCTCTCTCTAGACACACACACACACACGCACACGCACACGCACACGCACACGCACACACAATTACTATATATACACATCTACCTCAAACATCTATAGGAGTCTTCAACTTTTCGTTTTCACTTCAACTTATGTTCGAAAAGTAGGCGAATTGAAATGAATCGTTTATCTTTTCATTTTTTGGTTACTTATAATACAAAAGTATTTTTCTATGTTTTTGTTCTGTTGTGGGCTGCCTGTGAGGGAAAGATAAAGCTACCAGAAAATATTAAAGTGCCTGCAATATTTGCATTTGGAGATTCCATAGTTGATCAAGGCAACAATAATGGAATCAAGACATTGATTAAGAGCAATTTTAAGCCTTACGGAAAGGATTTTGAAGGTGGAGTTTCTACAGGAAGGTTTGGCAATGGAAAGACACCACCAGACTTGATTGGTACATATTCTCATCCCACCTCTCTCTGTGTTTGTTTGTATATACTTCACACATACATGTATGTAAATATATAAAAGTAAGAACATTTTTTGTTGAACCCATTAGTCTTAGTTCTTGTTTGGGATACTTTTGCAGAAGAGTTTTTTAAGAAGTTACTAAGTGTACTTTCTCTAAAATTTCTTTATATCTCACAAAGTTCTAAACAATTCAAAAGTAATTTTTTTTTGTTTTAAAAATAGTTTGTGACCTTCAAAAATTATGTCAAGTAGGCCCTAAAAGTTCAAGATTATCAAGTTTACATGTAAATCATTTAAGCATTATCTCCAACACGTCCTCTCATGTGTAGAAGTTTTTTTTTTTTTTTAATTTTTCATCTGAGATAACACACGCTCAACTTTTTAAAAATGGATGACAACGAGTTTTGAATCCAAATAAGTACTTTAATATCATAAAAAAAGTATTGTTTATAATAGTTTTTGCTTAATTCAATAATATCGATGTAGAAAAATATTTCTAATAAATTCTAATAAATGTTACTTTCAAAAAATTCTAGTTCAGTTTTTTCTTTTGTCGTATAATTGACATTTACCACAAGTTTCACTAAACATAAAATTAATTTAAATGTACTTTAACGTAAACTTTTATTTTCAAATATATTTAGATATACTACTGTTTTCTTAATTATAAGTAAATAAAGTTATTTATTGACAATAAAGTTGAGGTTATTTTTAGACTACTTATTTCCGTTATAGCAAAGAAACATAATTACATAAAAATTTACTTGTTTACTTATAATTTATCTAACACGATAAGTATATATTTTAAGCTTAAGATAGTTTATATTATTATTATTATTATTATTATTATTTTATTTTATTTTATTTTTAGTTTTTTTATTAAGAATTTTAAAAGTATAAAATATATTGTATAGCACAATTATGACATGTTCAAGTTGTTAGAAATAACTTACACATAAGTGAATAAGAATTACAAGATAAAATATTTACCTAGCTATTGATCACCGTGTCTAACACAAGTAACATCTCTATCCAAAATTATTAGGCAATATACAAAAAAATGCAAATTATGTACAAATATAGGATATAAAATTCAACTTTTAAAAATCAACCTTCACTTTTGAACGAGGAGATTAATTTGGAAATTTAACATTATTAATTGTGAGGGAAAAGTGAATTGACATGCATGCCATGTGATTGTAATTCCACATTATTATTTGCCTATTTTGTGGAGGCAATAATTATGAGTATATAGAAGGGGTCTAAGTTGGGCTAAGATATCTAGCATTATATCCCAATTTGAAGTTTTTAATAATAATAAAAAAATTGGGCTTAAAGCTGGATGGAAATAATTGTACCCTAATTAGCTGGAAAAATGGTCCTTCAATGCTAACCTAAAATAATAAATTCTTTTATTCCTACAGTGCACAATAAGTTGCATGTTATAACTAGTGGTGTCAGATGGTACGCATATTGTCCACATAGCAACTTTCATTTTACCTAAACCAAACTCATTTGAATGTGTTTCTAATTTCAGCCGAAGAACTAGGGATTACAGAGCTCATATCCGCTTATCTTGACCCGAATTTGAAACTCGAGGATCTTAAAAAGGGTGTAAGTTTTGCTTCCGGAGGTAGTGGATATGTTCCCGAGACTGCTAAATTAGCGGTACGTAGATTAAATGCAACTTTAATTCTATTCTATCTTGACATAACACTTACAATATTTTTCGTACATGGTCTAGACATTTCGTTTGGTTCATCGTACTGAACATAGCATTTATAAATTCTTTAGTAGTGTTCTAAAATTATTTCCCTTTATCTTGTGTTAAACAACAGTCAGTTATATCATTATCAGATCAATTAGAATTATTCAAAGAGTACATTGGGAAGCTCAAAGGGGCCGTTGGAGAAGAAGAAACAAACAACATTTTAATCAATAGTATCCACCTTGTGGTAGCAGGCAGTGATGATCTTGCCAATACGTACTTCACATTGGGTGCTAGCAAGTTGTACGACATAAATTCCTATACTGATCTTATGGTTTCTTCAGCTTCAAATTTCATTCAGGTACATATCTGATACATTTGATTGGACAAGGGAAATCTTTTCAAGTCACGTCTAATTTAACGTACTATTGATTAAGGATATGTGACGTAAGTTTGGTTGTTTCGGCCAAACTTTAAAAGCTTGTGGCCGATAAGGGCTGCTTTAACTTTTTATTTTTTTAAATATATGTCGGACTTACCCATACTCGCACAATGAAAGGCCCTTTAGATATCATTCAACTTGAGCTGCCTATATGTGGGTTTGTGCTAGGTTGCTAACTTGCTACTGCCCACTTGACATGCTTATTCGTGATTCAAGATATGGTTGTAAATATGAAAGTCACAATACAATAACTTTGATTTAGCCCCTGTTTCTTGTAGATTAAAATGAATTTTTTTTCCCAACGAAATGTGAAGTTAAAAAGTTATGGGTCCCATGAAATGTGTTATTAAAATTAATTGTTGACTTTAATTTAATTTTAATTCAAATCAAATGGAGGCTTAACATTTTGCACTACGGATTCGTCGGTAGCAAAAGTCCCGTCCTGGAAAGGAAAGCTCTCTCAATAACTGTAAGGAACTAAATATCCATCCGTGATATTTAGCTCCTTGCAGTTATTGGACTTTTGTTAAGTTAAAGCTAAAACAAGATATAGAATAGAATCTCGCCTTACAGCCTTGCTTCCCATTGTAATTGCCATCGTTTTGCCAGTTCTCTCGCTGCGTAGCATTTTATGTCCCAACAAATTTTAAACATTATTTTTGTAATTTCTTGAAATTACTAATGAAATTAAACGATTGTGTAGGAAATATACAAGCTCGGAGCAAGAAGAATTGCTGTTTTTAGTATCCCACCAATAGGATGTTTGCCAGCTCAAAGAACCCTAGCCGGTGGTGGTGTTAGAATGTGCGTCGAAAATTATAATCAGGCAGCACAGTTGGTTAATTTCAAGTTGTCATCTGAATTTGATTCTCTTGCTGAAAAGTTACCTCAATCCAAAGTGGTTTTCATTGACATTTATAATCCTTTACTTGATCTCATTCAAAGGCCTCAAAATTATGGTAAGAATATTTAGTTCCCATTTTGTTTGATTTGATTTCTGGTGAAAATGTATATCTATAATATAAGTAGAAGAGAATTCATATAATTAATAGTTAGTTAAAACGCACTTTTCAAAAGATTTATAGTAGTAATCTCTAGATGAATGATCTCCACATCAAAAAGCTTAAAATTTTTAGTGCATTTTTTTTTCCAAATATCTCTTATTTCGATCGTTGAAATTGACAGAAAGAAAAAGTTTATAACTAGTCAAAACCCTCTTTCTTACAAAAATAATAATACTAATAATAATATTAGTTCCCATTTTTTATAATTATATGTCCAAAGTCTTGACTTATTTTTGAATGATCTCAGGGTTTGAAGTAGTAGATAGAGGATGTTGTGGCACGGGAAATATTGAAGTGGTAATATTGTGCAACAAATATAGTGGGACATGTCCAGATGACACAAAATATTTATTTTGGGATAGTTACCATCCCACAGAGAAAGGCTATAGAGTTCTTGTTGACGAAATCCTTGAGAACTATGTTAACAGATTCATCTGAGCCAATTAATCGTCTCTGATTTCATCAAATAATTTCTCATTCGAAATCAAACATTTAAGATTGTTCCCTAGTAGTCATTCACTATTCCCGAATGTTTCTTTTTCTATTATTTTTAACATAATGTATACTTGATCAGTTCAAGTTGAGATTTGCTGGTCGAAATTGACTGTCCAACAATGATTCATTGACACATCATTAATGAATTATTGGATTCGCAAGTTGGACAGCCAATTTTTTATGGTAGATCTCAACTCATTTGTAGTGTGCTAAAAGAGAGAGATGATTGTGTAAAGATTTAAGCATTGAAAGTAATCTTTCAAATTTATATATTTGTTTGTTGAGAGATTCGAGATTAGTTCTAATGCCTAATTTGCTAAAGTGAGCTGTATATTAATGGATAAAAAAAAAATTCATAAATAGATATTAAATCTTTTTCGTGTAAATATTTTTCTCCCTAATGGAATATTATGTAGCTATAATTTCAACAATTAACAGTTGGGAAAATTTTCATATAATCCAATATTTTAAAAATCGACCCGAGTATCAATCCCCAAAAAAGATAAGGGTCGAGTGTTAAAGAGTTGAACTGAGGCCGAATCGGATGCCAAAACTAAGTAAATTAATACACATACAAAGAATAAAATATTATAACAAAAATATATATATTTTTTGAATTTTAGTACTATTAATTCAAAATAAATATAAATTCATGTTTGTCAACTAGATTTATTATCTTATAATTTATTTTAAAACTTCAAATACTAATAATTAATATGTCCAAAATAATTTGCTTTGATTAATGGAAATTGTAATTTGGGAGCCATTAGAATGCACTAAATAATTAATGGGGAAATTAGGCCCAATACGGCCCATAAGTTTGAAAATTATTAGCTACAATGAAAACTAATTCATACAGCCCAAAAGTTCTTAACCTCGTAATTTGGTGAAAACCTCCAAAATTCCCAAAACTCCATAATGCCCGAGCTTCATCACTGGCCACCCACATTGCCATCTGCATTCGCTCCACCACCTACCTTGCCAACCACCTCTAAAACAACTCATCATTGAACTGACAACTGCTCATCATTTCGGATGTGACTCTTTCTCAATTGCTTACTTTCATATGATTTCTAAACGTGTTTCAATTCTAGATTCCCATTATTACTGCAAACATGGTCTTTTCAATCTTGGATGTTGATTATCCAGTTGAGAAAGTGGCTTGCTATATGTCAAATGATGGAGCCTCGATGCTTCCGTTTGATGCATCGGTTGAAATAGCCAAGTTTGCAAGGAGGTGGGTGCCATTTTGCCAAAAATATAACTTGAACCTCGCGCTCCGAAGTTCGACTTCTTTGAGGAAATTGACTACTTAAAAAGATAAAGTTCAGCCTACTTCCGTGATGGATCGTAGGGCTATGAAGATAAATTAGATGAATTACTTTCTTCTGCTATATTTTATGAATTTAGTGGAATTAGATTCATTCTTACACAATGTTTATGCATTGCAGAGAGAATATGAAGACTTCAAAGTAAGAATTAATGCTTTGGTGGCTAAAGCACAGACGAGACTGGAAGAAGTTTCAATTCTTGGTTGTTCCATTTTGATTCAAATGTATTGAAACTAATAAACTGTCCTATCGTTCAATGCCACATGGTATTGGTAGAGTTCACATTATTTGAAGCAGTACTGGTGTTACAATGTAGGTGAACAACAGAGAGGGTGTAGTGGTAGAACCTCTTGGACAGAAACCTAATGACGAGGTAAATGAATGACAAGACAATAATGATGGAGGGGATTGCAATAATCACTATAATAATTGATGAAGAATTATAAGATTTAGATGGTGGTGATAATGATGATGAGGCGTCTCTATGATAGCTGTTGGGTATAGTTTTCTTATTGTTGGGCATGATGGAGCTGTTGTCAACATTGATGAGCAGTGATGGTTAAGGTGGTGGTGTAAATAAAGTAGACATTTTCTAACGACATTGAAGAGTGTTTAGTGATGAGTGTAATTCACTTATCGAACTAGCACATCTAAATCATGGTTTTCAGTTTTTTTTTTTTTAGCAATTTTTAGCGTTTTGATGTGTGTCTTTGTGTTGCTTTGTGGTTTAGACCACTTGGATAAAGTGGCATTTTTCAGAGCTTGGAATGAAACTAAAGTGTTGATCATGGAAGTAGGCATGAAATACAGATGAAAGGAGAGGAAAATGAAGTGAGAAAGAGGTTAGTGTACGAGTAAAGGAGACAAAGCCCTATGTGGGGTGCCAAGTGCCGCATCCAATCTACAGAAGGCTGGGCATTGGGAAAATAAGGCAATCTGTAGAAGGCTGGGTATTGCGACGTCCAGTTGAGAGAATTGAAGTAGAAACGCTGGCGCTATTGGGCGCTGCGGCCCCGGTACCAAGAAAGAGGAAAAATCAATTTTTTTATTATTACTTTTAGGCTCAGTGCAACTCCAACCCATCTCGACACATTAGGGAGCTATAAATGCAAACTTAAAGACCTAGATGAGGGGGAGATGACTTTAGAAAAAAAGAGAAAAATGTGTAATGCAAACTTAATTTATTTGTGTTGATTCATGTGTAATGCTTTCAATTACTTAATCAATAATTGAATGATTTGATGCTTTAAATTTCAGCACTTGAGAAAAAGGAGATTTAGGCGTGATCTAAGAACATAACCTAGATTTTGTGGATTTCGAGAGAAAGCATGGAATCTCTGAGGCTTATTTCATTTAAGAACCATGCAATTCATAATTTCTATATGTTCGATTCGGAATAGAGATATTAGAATTAAAGAATAGAGATAAATTCTATTCGGCACTAGGGAGAGGAAATAGAATTATACTAGGGTTCTTGCCTATAAATTTAGAAAAATTGATAGAAGTAACTGGAGAAATTGAAAAACATTGTTGATAGGGCAATGAAACCATTCATTGGGCTTTCTCACTTATATAAATATCTTATAAATTACATTATATTGCTTGAACCATCATCACATCAACATTAGATTAGAATACAAACATTGATTCAAAATTTGATTTTCTAGATAAAGTAAAAGCTAAAATAATTATAGTATTCGGTAGAAATCAGATAACAATCCCTACGATTTCGACACTCTACTTCAAATATAAAATTTGACATCGTATACTTGCAGCAATTTCACGTTGTAGAAAAAGCATGACATGTGGCTACAAGATACTTGACATTTTGATTGGTGTTTTATCGATGGAATGACTTAGAGACGCTTGGCATCGAACGGAGAAAGGGGAGGGATAGTGATTATGTCATTTTTTTAAAAATTTTTGTCACTTCAAACTGCTTCTAATGTTTTATTTGGTGTTTTTTTTTTGAATTTTTTTTTTTTTAACTTTTTGAGTGACAAGCATCACTTTTTAATAAAAGTGACACTTAACTTTACAAATAATTTTTCAAAAGATCCCTAATTTTAGAGATATTTTTCTAAGTTGCCGATAATTAAACATTTAAGATTTCAATTGGCCATAGGCCATGAAGCTTTTGTAACACATGGAATGATCAAAGAAAATGTATATGAGGAGTGTTTTTTAAAAGCTACAACACTTTGAAGGTAAATTTGAATTGGGCCTGCTATTGCTAGTGAGCCCAATCAACAAAGTAGAAACAATTTTTTGAATAAATAACTTAGATAACAGTGAAAATTTGATTTTTCAGTTTGCGGTTAATTGACCTGTTCATTAGTTTATTCGCTGAGTTTCCCTTTTTAGGTTAATATATAATGACTAGACCTGATTTGAGGCCAAATCTCGATTTTTTCGATTGAACCGACAAGTTTGGTCTGATTTTCATAACATTGATATAACCTAACGAAAAATTATGATAACTGTAAATACTATAATTTGGTATATGTACCTAATAAACCATATAACATATAAATATCTAAATAATATTATTTGTTACATTTACTTTCAAGACCTTTTTTGTAATCGAAAAATTAAAGTCATAGAAAAGATTACACTTGCATTGAATATCCCTTAATATCAAAACAAATTCAAAAAATTTAATGGGTAACGAAATCATATTCAGATTGATTATCATCTACAAATTTTCCATTGTTTTGCATTGGCGACCACTACTGACTAGGTTACCAACTATATTTTCTTTATTTAACAAGTCAAATGTAACTGCACATACTATGATGTGATATATGATGATGAATCAGGAAAATAATTTCCATTTCAACATTTGTTATGTTTGTTCATTTTTTTTTAATATATTAAGTATTCTACATCATATTTATGTATGTGTTTGTGATTAATGGGGCTGTTACGTTAGGGATTCTTGTTTTGTTTGGTTGCAAGTATATGGATCTTGTCGAAATGATAACAAATGAATTGAAGATGGATAAGAAAAGGTTATGTTTGAAAATTGAGTATGTTAGTAATGCTGAAAAGATCTTGATCAGGATTGTTATGAATAAGCAAGATATATGCGCAACATGAAATAAAATCAAACAATCAAGAACATTAAGATTTTACGTGGAAACCCAAAACGAAAAAAAACTACAGGTATAGAATAATTCACTAGATCAAAATCAATGGATTGTCGTTACAAGATTGATGCTCTCAACCAAATCTAATGTTTTCTAATAGTATGAAGAGGCTACAAATCGTGGCGCATTTATACAATCCCAATTGTTGTGTTTTAGATGGGATGTACTACATAAATTCAACATAATTGTGAACAGATTTGGGCCTAATAATACCATCGCTTGAATGGAGCCCTCGTGCCCAGTGAGCGACGCATCTCTGGTGCTTAAGTGGGCATCTCGCGAACATTGCTCAAGGCACTGTAGACATAATGTTCATGCACCTTGTTCCTATCCCAAATCTTTCTTTCTACTCCCAATGGTGCTTAGGCGTCCAAATGGTGGTGCCCAGGCTCCCAATCTCTGCCCAAAACATCCCAAATCCATATTCACTTCTGTAAAGCCCTTTTCAACTAATCTCTAATGCCCAATGGAATTTGGGTCATACTTCAACAATTTTCATATTGACACACATTTCAGTGGAAGGAATTATTCTTCACTCTTAAACAAGCAATTCTCCACCTTCTCACACAAGTCCTTAATGGCTAATCCAACAACAAATACCAAGTAAGCTGAGCAATGCTCAAACTTGGCCACAAGGAGTGTCTTTGTCAACATATCAATGGGATTCTTCTTGGTATCAAATTTGCTCGCTACAATATCACTACTAGCAGTCACTTCATGCACAAAATGATACTTCCCATCAATACGCTTTGTCCTCTCATGAAATATGTAATCTTTTGTTAGAAAAAAAATCACCCTAACTATGACGAAAGACTTAG